GTTTTCTCATCTGTCAAAATGGCTTCTTTATTTTTATGTAATTCAACCTGTCCCTGTAATAAGAGACACTTTCCTGAGTATTTTACGTGTGACATGGTTAATTTCTTGTTATGATTGAAGGGATTCTCACAAGTGGTGCATTAACTCCCCAAACAAAATTCAGGTACAAGAACCTACCGATTACTCAGGGCTAAAATCTGAAACCAAACATTGCATTAAATAAAGTTTTTGGGAACTGGTGAAACTAATCAACATGGAAATCATGATCGCATGACCTCTCCTCCTGTCATAGCCATGCCCCCTGCCATTCTGCAGTCAGTTTTCAGAGGTGTTTCTCAATGGCAAGATGGCCAGTCGCACTTGCGATCTTGGCACGACTGGTCTTGCTAACTTGCCTCCCAAGAATAATGTATGAGAATGTAAGTCACACGTCCTTGGTGTTTGGGGCGGGGCAAGATTTTTACTGTCCTCGGTACTTCTGCTCTTGAGTATTGGAACTGGTCTTCGGCAATGGAAGAAGACGTAAAATGGGTACACGAGAACACAAGTACGGTCAAGTTTGCATATCGAAAAACACCCAGGGTGTCATTTCTTGAAAATGAGAAAAATACGACTGCAAACTTTGTGACGGATACTGCAATCTTAAACTGTATGAACATGACTGTTTAAGTCCTGCACATCAAATGTAGAATGTGGCAAACTGAAGCAAACGATGATGGGTTGAGTTTTTATGCTGGAGGTATTGCTTCAACTTCTGTCGGTATGCGTCATGTCTCACCCTGCTTTGGAATGATTGGCATTTCTCATGCTATAGGGTGAAAGACTCCCCAACATGATAATTGTATGCCTGCATGAATAATCATTCTGATACATATTTGTTTACGTCTGTGGAGGAGCTTTCATACATTCATATTAGAGCTGCCATCTGGTCTGATTTAACTGCGTTTATCCCAGCTGGCATGTTCCTCTGAGTTGGACGTTTTCTGTTCGATACATTAACCGATTCCTAGCTAAGAAGGCAAACCTTCCCATGGTGCAATTCAGCTCTCGTGTTAATCTCTAGTATCTGACCTTATAACTAGTGTGCCAGCTGTAGAGCCCACTGGGCGGGGACACAAACGTGTCCACAAATCGTATGGCTGCATCCGACGGGCTCCCAAGAGTCCAATAGACAACCGTTGACGCCTAAAACGATTTAAGTGCTAAATGTAAACGTCTGTGACTCTCACAGGCGGCGGGAAAAAGGAGATTCCAGCCGGGCAGAAGTAACAAGGGGTTGTGGATAAACATGCTAGTCAGGTGAGGATTGCTGGTTTTGCTGGTTTTGCCAGTGCCAGGAATGCCAGGGTCCCCTCTGAATAGTTCGAGCAAAACGCAGAGCTGTATAAATGGATGAAATACTACCTATTCAAAATATGAGTAATTTAAATAAAGAAATAATCACTATGCCCTGTGATAGACTGGTGTCCTATTTAGGGGTGAATTTCCCAAAAGCTCCCTTAGCGACATAGTTGGATCCATTCAGTTGCATGGTTTCAACTATGTAAGTTGCTACATAGTTAGCAGCTATGCTTTTGGGAATTGTACCCAAGGTGTCCCCTGCTGCCTGCCTGTGCTCCCTGGGTTAGGCTACAGGGTCACTGTTACCCTAAACTGAATAAATACTAATTCATAAAGATTGATAGTAATTAATCAAGAGCTTGTATTTTGCTGTGGCAATAGGTTTTATTGATTATACTTGACAAGACACGTCGATACCTGTTTTCTTTTGAATAATCCAGTGCAACTGTTGGTGCATTTTGGACCACAGAAATGTCAAAGCCATTTCCCCCATCCTTTGTTCATGGAGTTGTCTTAAGACTTTGCCAGTAGTTGATTTTTAGGTATTCAGTCTTTGACATATAAGTACATGTAAATACACTTAACCGTGGGTGAATATTTTTGGAGGATTTTCTGCAGGAACTGAGGAGAGAAACAGTGTTTGTTGTCGCAGTAGAATTCTCATGCTGTTGGCATGGCAACGGGCCTGTCAGGCTGCTTTATCTGGGTGCAAAATGCAAGCGCTATTCCCAAAAGCGGTTTATCAAAATCACTCTCCTTTGCCATGGCCCCTGTATGTTCTATACTTTATTATAATTAACATTGTTTAAAGTGTAGCTGCTGGACGGCAAAAAACAAGCATTAAAATGGGAAGTGATGGAGAAATGCAGGCAGCTGGAAGACCTTCAGATGTCACATTCTAGTTGCTGCCAAGTTACACGCGAAAAACAACCAAACACTTGAGCTTTCATCAACGTAGCAGCACTAAATCTGTGAGTCTGTCTGTGCAGTCAGTTTAGAGCTTAGATTGAGGTGCACTCTTGCCATAATGGCAAAATCAGGCTACCTTGTCTGATACAGATTGCACACCACATAATCCATTTTAAATGCCAGTATTTATGAAGGAGAGGCTGCCAAGACTTGTGATACTGGGGAACTTCAACACATCCATCCATCCATGTTTCTGCCTTTGAGTGAGCATGGAGCCGATCACAGGCAGCATAGGATGCAGGGCAGGGGACACCCTGGGGGGGGGGCGCCAGTCCATCGCACGGCACACACACGCACTCTGGGGAATCTGGAATGATTCTGACTCTTCTGGAACAAACCCCACACTGAAATGATCCTGACTCTTCAGGAAAAAACCCTACACTAGAATGATTCTGACTCTTCAGGAATAAACCCCACACTGGGATGATGCTGACTCTTCAGGAACAAACCCCACACTGGAATGATTCAGACTCTTCAGGAATAAGCCCCAAAATGGGACGATTATGACTCATCAGGAATAAACCCCACACTGGAATGATTCAGAATCTGCAGGAACAAACCCCATACTGGAATGATTCAGACTCTTCAGGAATAAACCCCACACTGGAATGATTCTGACTCTTCAGGAATAAACCCTACACTGGAATGATTCTGACTCTTAAGGAATAAACCCTACACTGGGATGATGCTGACTCTTCAGGAACAAACCCCACACTGGAATGATTCAGACTCTTCAGGAATAAGCCCCACACTGGAATGATTCAGACTCTTCAGGAATAAACCTCACACTGGAATGATTCTGACTCTTCTGGAACAAACCCCACACTGAAATGATTCTGACTCTTCGGGAATAAGCCCCAAAATGGGATGATTCTGACTCATCAGGAATAAACCCTACACTGGAATGATTCAGACTCTGCAGGAACAAATCCCACACTGAAATGATTCTGACTCTTCAGGAATAAACCCCACACTGTAATGATTCAGACTCTGCAGGAACAAACCCCACACTGGAATGATTCAAACTCTTCAGGAATAAACCTCACACTGGAATGATTCTGACTCTTCTGGAACAAACCCCACACTGAAATGATTCTGACTCTTCGGGAATAAGCCCCAAAATGGGATGATTCTGACTAATCAGGAATAAACCCCACACTGGGGTGGTGTGCTGGTGCAGTGGTTAGCACCGTTTCCTCACATGTCTGAGACTAGCATTCGAGTATCTGCCATGGCTGCATGTGTGTGGAGGTTTCATGTTCTCCCTGTGTCATTGTGGAGTTTCCTCTGGGTTCTCCTGATTTCCCCCACAGTCCGAAAACATGTTAAGGTGAATTGGAGTTACTAAATTGCTCATAGGTGTGAATGGTGTGTGAGTGTGTGTGAGTGTGCCCTGTGATGGGTTGGCACCCCACCCTGGGTTGTTCTCTGCCTTGTGCCCATAGCATCTGCCCCCCCAGTGACCCTGAATAGGACAAGATGTTACAGGAAATGGATGGATGGATGTACTGGGATGATTCTGACTGTTCAGGAATAAAACTCACACTTTGATGCTTCCAACTCTTTACAGACCCGCGTTATCAAGTTTTGCCTCAAATCTGAAGCAATAACAAACATTCAGGTTGGGATGTACAGTACACTGGAGAAGTGAACTGGCAGCACAGGAACTGGAAGGCCTACTGGGCAGGAGCCCAGGGCCACCCTGTGCCTGCTGCTGGCATCAGACCTGCCCGACCTGCTGTCCCAGTTGCTGATGATGCAGCTTTTGCACACGTGTCCTGCATGGCAGCAGCAGTGTTGTGACCCCCTTCCCCCCTCTGCCATGTCTCTCTTCGTTTTGGCCTGACGCTCAGGTGTCCCATGAGGGGAAAGCGATGATGGCAGGTGCTCAACCAGGTGCAGAGTGGCTACTGTGTGTCACCAAGGACAGTGTCAAACATGCGGGATGGGATGTTTATAGTCTACACACACACTCACATTCACAAATTAAGGGCAATTTAGAGGTGCTAGCTCAGTTTAGACTGAGGAAGGAAACCAGAGTATCTGTAGGAAACCTTCACACCACAGAGAAAATATACAAACTCCACAGGGAGCATGGACAGGGGTTCAAACCCCCAACCATGGACAGGGGTTCAAACCCCCAACCCAGGAAGTGCCCCACTGAGCCGCCATACTGCCCTTCAACATTAAGGCAACTCATCATCATCATCATAATTCTTCATATTATTGCTGGTCTTATTATGGAAAAGTATATTCCTTCAACAATGTTCAAATTGTACTTATAATCCTGGCTTTAGCCTGATAATTTTGTGTGTTGCCTGGATACAGTTTCAAACTGTCAGGATAGAGCAGGTCTAAATATCTAAATGTCACATGTGTCAAATATACACAGTTTTCCTTCTCTTACATTTGGCTACCAACCACTTTGGCTGTCTTTCTAAATATAATATGCTCTTTCCAGGTACAGCTCAGTAAAGTAGGACAAGAAAAACTTTTTTTTTTTTTTTAACAGAAATCCGAATTCCAAAATGAGTAGGTCTGCCAAGACATATACTCAGAATAGACCACAGATCAAAGATTTATGGGCGATCGCATTTAATCCTGGAATTATTTTGGTTTCTTAATTCAAGTGTATAAGATGTCTTGTCAAATTAACATCACACTGAATTTTTTTTGTTGTTGATTCCCAGGGGCTAAAAAGGTGACAAACAAGGCCACGCTTTGGTACGTCCCATTCTCCCTTCAAAACGTGGACAAGATCATCGAAGTCCCTCCCATTGAGGTAGGCAGGGCCTTTTTACCTGGGTATAAACCTGGATGGTGCTGTCCAAAGCGATTTCTCTCTGCTAGCAGAGCCTATGTTTCTGTCAGGACCGACCTGCACAGGTAGCAGCTTCTCTCACTAATACTTTTGGATATTTCCGTTATGGATCTGGGCGGGTTTTGTGTGAGGACGTGGCATGATGCAGGCAGAAATGGTGGACGACCCAGTTGAGGCCCAAAGGACAAACGGGGTTTATTAACTGAACTAAAAAAAACACTAACAAAACAAAGGACCACAAGGGGTCCAAAGTAAATGGGGATAAACAAGACTAATTACAAACAGGCAGGTAAGCAGAACATACATCTAACACCAAACATTAACAATCGCAATCAACAGAATCATAACAATCAACAACCACAGCAGAACTGAACAGAAGCAGGGACTTAAATACTTGAAACTAAAACTGGGTAATAATACTAACACAGGACAGGTAAGACTAATTAACAAAGACTGGGAAAACAGGTCACAGGTGAAACTAATTAACTCAAAGGATCTGAAGAGAGAAACTAAGACCTAACCAAGGAAACAGGGAAACAGGGAAACACTGAGGAATAACAGACAAGTAGAAACGCAAACAGGGGCACAAGGAACGAAACCAGAACCAAATACGAGTCAGAAGACACAGGAACTGGAAAAACATTCAATGAAACACTAGGGAATAAAATACAAAACAGAGGAGGTGGGATTCGAACACACGACAAAAGGGATATGCAGGTAGCCACATGCTCAACACACTGAGCCATGCGGCTGACAATACAAAGACTGACATCAGGGACAGGATGACCAGCAATTATATCCACTCTGAAGCACAGCGGGTGGCCTTATGTTGAACCTGACCTTTCAATAAATATAACTGTTTATGATGTTACTTAGCTGAAATTTGCACACTTCACCATGATCCTGCACTGGATAAATCGTATGAAAGATGGATGGATGGATGTTACTTAGCTTGTGCTTTTATCCAAAGCAATATTACTCAGGGTCAGCCCAGATGACAGCGAACGTTCCTAGAACCTGAGCAAACGTTATCTCAAAGTTGGCAGAGAACGTTCTTACGTGTAGCGTTAATGTAACGTTCCCTCCATATTAACAAAGGTTCTGTTGATGTCAACACACTAGCATTATTACTTGATCATCCTTGTAATGCAATTTTTGAAAATTATTGTTTGATGATAAAATACTACAGTATTTAATAAAAGTGCTATATGCAAGCACAACAAACAGCCCTAAACCCATGATCTTTGATCCGCAAAGCAATACTGTTCCCCACTTCCCTACCATTTTTAATCTTAGTTGTAGTGGCAGTTGTAGTAGTGGGATAACATTCTGGGAACATCAGGAAAACTGGACACTTTGAACGTTTCTGTACCTTAATTGTAAACGTTCCTGAAATGCACAATTGTTAGCGGAGAAGTACTCAAGGCTACATTAGCAAATCCCCTTCTGGTGCCTGAACTAGCAGCGTATTTGCAAGCACATCAATTCAGATTATATTTGGCACCACTGGCTTGACATTGGGATCCAGATCCATTGGTCTGATTTATCCACATCTGGGTTTTGCTTATAGATCTGAGTATGGCAGAGCCTTTGTCAGAAGGAAGGTTTTATTTTGTAATCCATGGTGACCATTTTGACTCCACACTTATGGGGTAACAGAGGCTAATGCAGAACGACAGAGGAACTGGAAGTTCTAGACACAGAAGGAGGTGAACTTGGCCCTCTGGGAGGTGTGATTGTACAGGCCTGGGTTTGGGGGGTGTCTTTGTTCAGTGCGGAATAAAGAGATGATAATGAGGTTTATTTACCTCTTTGTTCAGTGGTGAATATGACCGAAGACAAGGATGCCTACCTCACCGACACAACGTTAATGTATCTGTTCGTGTCGTCATGGTAATCTTTTGCCCTGTTTTGTTTGCCGGGTATAAATTTGAATTATTACAACACAGCTGTGGCTGAAAGGGGCCGCAGTGAGGAACTAGACAGTAATTTTAGAAATTCACCTGAAAAAGGCCTCCTGAAAAGATGGGGCCGTGTACCGTGTAGGAACTGTATGTAACTGCATTGCAGCCACTGCATGTAACCACGATGCAGCCCCTCACTGGCAGATCACCGGTCTGAAACAGTGCATTAACAGTCATGTTGTCCCGGGTGCTGGAAAGTGAAGCGTAACACCGTGCAAAAAAAGGTCTAATTCACCATGAAAGACCAGTTATGCTAATCGTACACAGAAATGGTTTGCATGATTAGCTAATTATTGAGGTAATTAAATCAGGGAGGAGGTTCAGTTTAGGCTTGCCCCGGAGAACACGCGCTGGCACCGCAGACTGTGACCAACGCATCGGGGTTCATTTGGCGCACCGTGACAGCACCCTTGGCGTGTTCGCCGTGTTCGTGGCTCGCCCCATTTGCCAGCGGACTGAGGAGTGCACCTTGTGGACGAGATCCTCCTCAACCACCTGATCCAGTGTTGGGTTGATTATTGAGTTTGTACCATCAGATTGGAAGCATGCTAATGCCCATATTCAAAAAAGGGGATAGAAGTAATCCAGCAAACTATAGGCCAATCAGTTTAAC